TTTCCTTTTCCCTTTTCCCCTTTCCCTTTGCTTCCCCTCTCCCGTCCCGCGCGGGCGCCGCGCTCGCTCTCACCGGCGAAGAGCAGGGTGAAGATGATGGTGAGCTGGTAGACGGCGTGGCCCAGGATGTTTTTCATCATGGTGCGGGAGATGAGCGGCTTGTTGCGCCCGTAGGGTTTGCGCAGCAGCAGCGACTCCGACGGCGGCTCCGTGGCCAGCGCCAGCGAGGCGAACGTGTCCATGATCAGGTTCACCCACAGCATCTGCACGGCCTTCAGCGGGGAGTCCTGGGGGAGAGCAGTCACACCACCAAAATAAAGATTTGTTCTCTCTTTGTTTCGTTTTCCTCCTGAAAACCTCTCCAAAATCACTCTTGGGTACATAACAACATCCCAAATATTTCTCCTTTCCTCCACGGCCTTCAGAGAAGAGTCCTGAGGGGGAGAGCAGTCACACCACCTAAATAAAACTTTGTTCCCTCTTTGTTTTGGTCTCCTCCTGAAAACCTCTCCAAAATCACTCTTGGGTACATAACACCGTCCCAAATATTTCTCCTTTTCTCCATGACCTTCAGCAGGGAGTCCTGAAGGGGGAAAGCAGTCACATCACCTAAATAAAACTTTGTTCTCTCTTTGTTTTGGTCTCCTCCTGAAAACCTCTCCAAAATCACTCTTGAGTATTTAACACCTTCCAAAAACATCCCCAAATATTTCTCCTTTTCTCCACAGTCTTCAGAGAAGAGTCCTGCAGGTAAAGACTGGGAGAACACATCAACATGACCAAAATAAACATTTTTTATCCTTCTTTGTTTCACTCTCCTCCTGAAAACCTCTCCAAAATCACTCTTGGGTACTTAACACCTTCACAAACATCCCCAAATATTTCTCCTTTTCTCCATGGCCTTCAGCGGGGAGTCCTGAGGGGGAGAACAGTCACACAACCAAAATAAACCTTGGTTCCCTCTTTGTTTCACTCTCCTCCTGAAAACCTCTCCAAAATCACTTTTGGGTACTTAACACCTTCCAAAAACATCCCCAAATATTTCTCCTTTTCTCCATGGCCTTCAGGGGGGAGTCCTGAGGGGGAGAACAGTCACACCACCTAAATTAAACTTTTTTTCTCTTTAGTTTCACTCTCCTCTTGAAGAGAACTCCAGAATTGCTCTGGGGTATTTAACAACTTCCTAAAACACCCCTCAAGATATTACTGCTTTTCTCTTGAGACTCCCATGTCCCACCCACCCAGGTGAGACCTTCAATGTCCCACCTGCCCAGATGAGCTCACCTGGGTGATGCAGGCACTGGTGAAGGCCATGATGATGCCATCACTGTGTTCCACCCAGCCAGGTGAGACCTTTAATGTCCCACCTACCCAGGTGAGACCTTCAGTGTCCCACCTACCCAGGTGAGCTCACCTGGGTGATTCAGCCACCAATGAAGGCCACAATGATGCCACCACCATGTCCTACCTGGCCTGGTGAAAATTCACATGTCCCACCCAGCCAGGTGAGACCTTCAGTGTTCCACCTGCCCAAATGAGTTCACCTGGGTGATGCAGGCATCAAAGTCCACGATGATGCCACCACCATGTCCCACTCACCCAGATGAGACCCTGCATGTCCCAGCCACCCAGGTGAGACCTTCAGTGTCCCACCTACCCAGGTGAGCTCACCTGGGTGATTCAGCCACCAATGAAGGCCACGATGATGCCACCACCATGTCCTACCTGGCCTGGTGAAAATTCCCATGTCCCACCCGCCCAGGTGAGCTCACCTGGGTGATGCAGGCGCCGGTGAAGGCCACGATGACGGCCACCACGTTGACGGTCAGCTGGAACTGCAGGAACTTGGAGATGCTGTCGTAGACGTTGCGGCCCCACATGACGGCCTTGACGATGCTGGTGAAGTTGTCGTCCGTCAGGATGATGTCCGAGGCCTCCTTGGCCACGTCCGTGCCCGCGATGCCCTTGGGGACAAAGGGATGGTGCCAGGGACGTTCCCAGCAGGAAAAGCCCCCGATGCTGCCCAGAAAGCTCCAGAGCCTTCATGGACGTGCTCTGAGGGAGCCCAGGTGGCCCAGACAGAGCCATGGTGCAGAAAAACTGGGAAATAGGTGGGAAATGGGTGGGAAATGGGTGGGAAACGGGTGGGAAAACAGATGGGGGAAACGGATGGGGGAAACGGATGGGGGAAACGGATGGGGGAAACGGATGGGGAACAAATGGAAAACTGACAGGAAAACAGCTGGGAAACAGATGGAAAACTGATAGGAAACAGACAGGGAAACAGCTGGGAAAATGCTGGAAAACAGATAGGAAAATAGACAGGAAAGCAGACAGAAATCTCCTGGAACACAGCTGGGAAAATGCCAGGAAACAGCTGGAAAATGGCCAGAAAACCAGCTGGAAAAGAGCTGGGAAACAGGAAAACGGACAGGAAAACAGGAAACAACTGGGAAACATCTGGAAAAAAAGGTGGAAATCTCCTGGAAAATGGCTGGGAAAATGCCAGAAAACAGCTGGAAAATGGCCAGAAAAACAGCTGAAAAAGAGCTGGGAAACAGGCAGGAAAATGCCAGATAACAGCTGGAAAATAGGAAAACAGCTGGAAAATAGCTGGGAAACAGGAAAACAGACAGGAAAACAGCTCCCTCCCCATGCCAGGGATTGGCTCCATCCCGGGCTGGGCGCCTCTGCTGGGAGCTCAAAGGAGCGAGAGCTCGGCCCGGAGGTTTCTGCCCCAACCCCGGCCCCAAAAATCCCCAAAAATCCCCCAAAATCCCCGGCAGCGTCTCCAGGGCAGCGGGCCGGGCTGTGCTTCCAGGAGCCAGCACAGCGAGGCGCTCGCCCCGCAGGAATTCCAGGCAGGAATTCCAGGCTGTGCCCAAAAGGAGATTCCCCAGATCCCAATCCCACCTCAAAGGGGACATCCCTGCCCGTGGCAGCACGTGGGGTTTAGGGGAACAGCCCTCCCTGCTTCTGGAATTGCGTTTGGATGTCCAGCACATTCCTAAAAACGCTTCCCAAAAATCTCTCATTTGCTCGAAGCTCCCTGTGCAGCCTCCCCACCCAGCTCCTGCTCACCTCCCTAAAATTAATCCATAGGGAATCTGTGAAAAACAACAGGTTTATTTCCCTGCTCCTTTCAGACAGCATAAAAAAGCATCAAGCCAAAATTTTCCACCATTCCCAAAGTCTGATCCAGCACCGTGCCTGGAATTGGGGTGAAAAACTGCAGGGAAAACCAAATCCTGGGGCTCCCATGGCTCTCCTGGATCCAGGAGAGACACCAGGACAGGGCAGGTCCCTGCTCTGGGACTTCCAAGGAATTCCCAACCCCTTGCTCAGACCCAAACCCAACATCCTAAGTAAATTCCTTTTTGGGTTTTTAGTCCATCCCACAGATTTGGAAAAAGGTTTCCACGGTCTGGAAGCCATCCCAGTGGAATAACCCACGGAGCAAAGGAAAACCCCCTACCATGGCAAACCCAACGTCTGCTTTCTTCAGGGCTGGGCCGTCGTTGGTGCCATCCCCCGTCACAGCCACCACCTGCCTCTGGTCACCCACGGTGCTGTCGATGATTCCTGCGAGGGAAAGGAGAAATGAAACCCCCACGGGAAGGATCCCAGCCTGGATCGGGCTGGAAAATCGCCAGGGAGGAGCCCCTGGGGAGGGCAGTGCCCACCTTTCACCAGGGTGTGCTTGTCCGTGGGCGAGGAGCGCGCCAGCACCCGCAGCTTGGGCCAGATCTTGTCCAGCTGCTCCTGCTCCACCTGCAGCAGCAGGAAAAGGGAAGTGATTCCCCCCCAGGAATCTTCTGTCCCGCCTGGGAGCAAATCCCAACTGGGACGGGGCAGTGGCTTCACCCCAAACACTGCTGAGCACCCCAGCAGCTTCCTTATCCGAGGAAATTAGGGAAAGCCAGCAGGATTCGGGAGAGGTATTGGGATCGGGAAAACCCAGCAGGGCTCGGGAAAGCCAGCAGGATTCTGAACACCCATCAGGATTCGGGAAACCTCTCAGGATTTGGGAAACCCATTGGGATTCAGGAAACCTCTCGGGAATTGGGAAACTCAGCAGGGCTTGGGAAACCTATCAGTATTCGGGAAACCCAGCAGGATTTGGCAAGCCCAGCAGGATTTGGGAAATATGTCAGGAGTTGGGAAACCCCTCAGGGTTTGGGAAACCTCTCAGGAGTTGGGAAACCCAGCAGGACTTGGGAAACCCCTCAGGATTTGGGAAACCTCTCAGGAGCTGGGAAACCCCTCAGGATTTGGGAAACCCAGCATGATTTGGAAAATTCATCAGGATTTGGGAAACCTCTCAGGATTTAGAAAATTCATCAGGATTTGGGAAACCCAGCAGGATTTGGGTTAACCCCTCAGGAGTTGGGAAACACCTCAGGATTCGGAAAACCCAGCAGGATTTGGGAAACCTAGCAGGATTTGGGAAAACTCATCAGGATTTGGGAAACCCAGGAGGATTTACAGGATTTGGGAAACCTCTCAGGATTTAGAAAATCCATCAGGATTCGGGAAACCCATCAGGATTTGGGAAATCCATCAGGATTTACAGGAATCAGGAAACCCCTCAAGATTTAGAAAATCCATTAGAATTTGGGAAACCCAGCAGGGCTTGGGAAACCTCTCAGGATACAG